GCATCTTAACATTATTTCCCTTCTTTTACCAATTCAGACTATGCTTCAATCCCTGTATTACAGAGCTCTTTTGTTCCAAGGTTGAGCATACATCACTATTTACCTCTATTCCATTTAGCCCATGCAAGCTGGCTAAGTGTTCTCTTATCTACCTTGTTCTTCTATCCTCCCCCACTTCTTGTGTATTGCCCTCCCCAACACCCAAACTATGTTGTGTCTATCCCCTACCCTGTGCTCTACCATCCCTTCCCTTCCCTGCACCCTCTACTCCACCAGTAACCAACAAAGAATTTTTCTTCTTTTCATTTTTCTTTCTTTGAGTGTGGGTATTTTTTCTTAGGCTTTTACAAGAATGGCAATATTTCTCCTTTAGTGACTGACTAATTTAACTCAACATAATGTTCTCAAGGTTCATCCATATTATGTGATAGCTTACAGCTTCCTTGTTCTTCAAGGTAGCATAATATTCCATTGTGTATATGTACCACAGTTTGTTTAGCCATTCAATTGATGGACACTTAGGCTGTCTCCATCTTTTTGCTATTGTGAATAGTGCTGCTTTGAATGTTGGTGTGCATATATTTACTCGTGTTATGGCTCGTATTTCTTGTGGATGCATACCAAGTACAGGAATTGCTGGACCATAAAGTTTTTTTATTTCCAAATTACTGAGGAAGTACCATATTCTTTTCCAGAGTGGTTGGACATCCCACCAGCAATGTAGGAGGGTCCCAGTCTCTCTACATCCTCGCCAACATTCATTGTCCTATTCATTTTTGAGCTTTGCTTTTATTGCTGGTGTGAGATGATATCTCATTGTTGTTTTGATTTGCATCTCTCTAATGGAAGGAGCTGTGTAGCATAGTGGTTACGAATTGGGCTGCTAACTTCAAGGTCAGCAGTTCGAAACTACCAGCTGTTCCATGGGAGAAACATGAGGCATTCTGCTCCTGTAAAGATTTACAGCCTCAGAAACCCTGTACAGGGTCACTATGAGTTGGAACCGACACCACAGCCCACCACCATCATCACCACCAATGCGTAATGATCATGAACATTTCTTCATATGTTTGTTGGCTGCCTGATTGTCTTCCTTGGTGAAGTGTTGTTGTTACATGATATTTAAATCCACAGGGTACATGAGAATGACTGTAGGTAAAGGAGAGAAAAAGCCCTAGGACTAAGTCATGTAATGACTGGAGTAATTGGAAATTGAGTATTCAGTTTTAAACTAGTATTTTATTAAAAACTTTTTATTATAAATTGAGTGAAGGTTTATAGAACAAACCTTCAGAAACTTAGCATTGTAGAAGTCTTGTAGTAGTCAAGATAAATTCTTTTCCCATTTCCCCTTCATCTCTTGGCCCTAGATGTGGAGTGCTTCCTGCAGATGGAACCCCACAGGCTTCATTGTAGGAGATGCAATGGAATGGACACTTTTGGGATTTATGTTGCATCTGGTTGCATAACTGCACCTGCATATTTTCATTTAAGAGTGATAACAAATAGCAAGGTTAGGCTTCAGTTAGAATCGTTTTTGATGATTAGAAGACTGTCACATAAAGGCATTTGTTGCTTGTTGCAGTTGAGTCAGTTCTGTTATGTCTACAGTGAAACATTGCCTGGCCCGGTACCATCTTCTTGATCACTGGAATGTCTGAGTCCATTGTTGTGGCTATTGTGTAGTGCCTTCCAACCTAGGAACCTGATTTTTCCAACAGTGTACCAGACAGTATTCTGTTGGATCCATAGGTTCTCATTTACCTTTAATTTTCAGAGGTAGAGCACCAGGCCTTTCTGAGACTTAGTCTGGATCCTCCACTGAAATCTGTCTACCTCTGGTGACTCTGCTGGTATTTGAAATACCAGTAGCACAGCTTTCAACATCTTACCCAAATATAAGGCAACATAGAGGCATATAAAAAACATAATAGCATAGTCCCAGAATTAACCCAAAGAGTTACACTGTAGTTGTTTCACTTGTTATGAAAAATAGAAAAAGCTAAATATTTTAGAGGGATAACTAAAAAGACAGAGTAGCAGTTATTCCTTAACTTAGCTTTTGTATCACTCCTCCCAGTTTTTCCTTTGAATATCTTTTTTATTCAGATAATCTGTTCAGTTTCATTTTCCATCTTCCTCAAATATAACTTTGTAGTACAGATTGTAGTTGTTGTTGTTAGGTGTCATCAAGTCAGTTGTGAATGAAGCAATCCTATGCACCAAAGAATGAAGCACTTCCTGGTCCTGCACCACCCACGCAATGGTTGTTATACTTGAGCCTATTGCTGCTGCCATGTTAGTCCATCTTGTTGGAGATCTTCCTCTTTTATGCTGATCCATGCATCCTGTTCTTTCCTAGGGACTGGTCCCTCCTGATAGTATGTTCAAAGTATGAGGAATGAAGTGTTGCCAATTTGGTGTCTAACACCATTCTGGCTGTACTTCTTCCAACACAGATTTATTTATACTTCTGACAGTCCATGATACTTTCAGTATTCTTCTCCAACACCAAATCAAATGTATCAATTCTTCTACAGTCTTCCTTATTCATTGTCTAACTTTCACATGCATATGAGGCTATTGAAAATACCTGACTACATCCTCACACTGACGTCTTTGCTCTTGAATACTTTAAAGAGGTCTTGTGCAACAGATCTGCCTGCTGCAATGAGTCATTTGATTTCTTGACTGCTGCTTCTATGCGTGTTGATAGTGTTGATCTAAGCAGAATTTGACAAGATTGATCCAAGCAGAATTTGACACGTGCAATCTTTTCTCCACTTCTCTTGATGTTATTTACTGGTCCAGCTGTGAGGAGTTTTGTTTTCTTTACATGGAGGTACAACCTATACTGAAGGGTATAATCTTTGATCTTCAACCGTAACTAGCATATTTGTATCTCTGCATGTTGCAGGTTGTTAATGGGTCTTCCTCCAGTCCTGATACCATACTCTTCTTCGTGTAATTCAGGTTCTCAGAGTATTTGTTCAGCATACATATTTGATAAGTATGGTGAGAGAATACAACCCCAATACACACCTTTCCTGATTTTAAACCACTCATTATCACCTTGGTCTGTTCAATTGAAAGCCTCTTGGTCTATGTATAGATATTCCTTATGAGCACAAGTAAGTGTTCTGGAATACCCATTCTTTGCAATGTTATCCATTCAGCTGAGATCCATTTGACATCAACAATGACATTCCTTGTCTTGGAAAATTCTATCATGACATTTCCAGTACCATTTCTATCATAAAGACCATATTTTCCAGCTACTAATCCTTCCTCTTTCCTACTTTTGCATTCCCATCACCAGTAATTATCAATACATCTTGCATACATGTTTGATCAAGTTTAGACTGAAGAAGTTTGTAGAGTTCTCAAATTTCATTATCACTGGCTTTAGTTGTTGTTGCATAAATTTTAAGAATGCTGGTATTAACTGATCTGCATATAGCCTCATATGCATGTGAAAGGAGTATGGTCTTTTAATTCAATCATTTTTAGTCACCTTGGGGGATTCCTTTGTTTCCCATTCTTATTTACTTAACAGAGATCATTTAAGACATGATGGAGTGTGTGATAAAGTTTATGGTGGTATTTTACGTAAGTCGTGTGGTTAGCAGTCCAATGCTGATCCTACAGTGGTACAGAACTCTAAAAACTATATGAATAATATAAATTTGTTTATTTAAAATGTGTTAGATCCACATACCCATATAAAGAACATTTGACAAAGTACACATATGTACCAAATTGTTAACAAATAGAAAATTGAGCAATGAATAAGGAAAACCAAATCAGAATGAATATATTTCAATTACGGTGTTGATGAAAAATGTTAATAATACCATGTCTGCCAGAAAAGTAAAAAAATCAATCTTGGAGGAAGTACAACCAGAATGCTTCTTAGAAGTGAAAGGTCTAAATGGTGAAACTTCATCTCACGATATTGGGCATGTTATCAGAAGGGACCAGATCATTGATAATGACATCATGCTTGGTAAAGAAGAGGGTCAGTGAAAAGAGGAAGATCCTTAGTGACCTGGATTGACACAGTAGTCCAACAATGGACTCAAACATAATATTTCTCAGAATGGCACAGAACTGAGCAGTGTTTCAGTAACAGTGATTCAGAACAACTGGATGGCACATAACAATAGTAATATTTTCCAGTTGGTGAAGTTACATAGGAATTTGTATTTCTAACTATACATTTCTATAGCATTTACATTTTTTTGTAGTCATGAATTTATTATGAAAGGAAAGTATTTTAAAACATGTATTAAAAAGATTTACAATTCCAATGAATAGTATATGCCAATACAACAAATAAGAAATTCCATTATTTATACTTCTGTGTGCTAATCGTTAAGGAATTGCTTGACCCATACAGCCTATGCTCACATATTATTGTGTCTACATGTTTGAAATGAGAATATGATTACCTAGAGGTGCCCTGTTGTGGTGCTGCTGGATCATGCATTGGGCCACAATGTCAATTTGAACCACAAGGTGAGCGGTTCAAATTTACCAGTCGGTCCTCGGAAATCTTAAACAGGATCACTATGAGTTGGAACTGACTCAGTGGCACTTAACAACAATAATAGGCCATCTTAGGAAGAAGGGTTCTTGAGTCTGCAAAAATGCCTTTCTTCTCCTTCCTTTGATATCCATAAAAATGTTGGCATTTGAAGGTCAGCTAGCCCACTCATAGAATAGACTTCAGGAGGGGATTTTTATTTTGCTTTTCTATCTCATATCCTGTGTTATTTTGGAATAGATTTGGCATAGAATCTAAGCTTCTATAACTTAGGCTATTTTTTTCCAGGAATGTAAAGCTTTTATTTATATATGTATATATAAATATATGCACACATGGATATTTATTTTTAAATGATGTAACTTTTCAAAAAATATATTAAAATGTATTTCTATGGGAGAAATATTTTTATATTTTGTCTGTTTTTTTGTTCCTTCTCTTTTGAAAACTCTAGCCAACCAGAACATTAGTCATGACAAGCATGCCATCCGAGTAAGTATAATTGTTTTGATAATCTCTACTCAATATGAAATTTTAGCCTTTTTTCATATGTTATAATACTGTGATTATATCAAACTTATAAGTTTATGGTTTCTCATTACTTTATATAACTAATGTCCAAGTTAGAAGATCATTGAAAATAAAAGGTGGTTAAGTATGAACAATTTTACACCAAAAACTTTTTGAAATGTTTAAAAAGCATTAATAGTTTTGATAGTATTTTTGCCATTGTTTATTTTTATACTAAGGGCTTTGTTTGCCCACAACGTCCACCTTCTCACCCCATTAATGATCAGTAAAGTAGAAAAACACTGGCTGAAATATTTCTCGTAAAGCTTTTAAAGAAACAATTTGATAGAAAGCTTTCTACTATGATATAAAAGCAGCTGTATACATATTTTGTGGAAGGGTTAATAGCTTGCTGGCATGCTCTTATCATCTTCCTTAAACATTTAGCACAATAATGAACATCCAACAAAAATAACAGTTCCATATTCTTTGTAACATATTTTTGAATTCCTGTGTAAAGGGGAAAACCATGTTTTTTTTTTTAATATCAATCATTATTGTTTTAGGTTTTAAGACATTCATCAAAACATTGGGATATTTCTGTGAAAAATGTACTGGAAAAAGTACATGCTTACAACACTTTTTATTGCAGGATCCTTTTCCTATCCATGGCACGAGAGTGATCATTTAATCTCTATGCATTGCATAATGAAATTTTGAGCTCATAAATATATTATGAAATGTACTTCACACACAATTCAGTAACATTGAATATGTTTATCACATTGTTAAGAGTCTACTCTTTTGCCTAAATAAAAATATTTCTAACTAGTTATTTTCTCAGTCAGAGTTTTACAAATAAGTCATTTTATTTAGGAACAATCTCCTACTAATATTTTCCCCATATATAATGGTCAAAATCAAGAATAAGACCTGAAACTTCTGATGCCATATTGATCAGCCATGTCTTGTAAAGACACTTTATATTAATTAGTACAGCCAACAAATAAAAGACAACTATTAGGTTTGAAATGGAAAGAATTTAGATATTCTGAAATGCAGAGGTGTGGAGAAATCTGATTTAGAGGGTTTCACTTCTTTGTGTTTTTGGTTTTTTCAAATTAATTCTTTCCCACAACTTCAATGAATACCTATTTTCTGGTTGAAGGAGTGGTGGGGCCCAGGTTTTGGGCTGCTTATCCTTTCTATTATAGGGAAGTCTAAGAATTTACAGGTGTGATACAGATCAACTCTGTCAGTTTTCAAATCAAGAAACTGAGGTTTTAAGATTTACATACCTGACTTAGATCATGGGATATAATATTAAGAAATTACACAGTACAGAAGGAGGAGTTTTACAGCTAGTTTGTATAGGCCTGGTCAGTAACAGCATTTTAAAAAATATATAATATTTGGAGAGCAGAGAATTTTATTTCTTAACTCATTGTGCTGTCATAAAGTTTCTTAGAAAGCCTCCTATATCCTTTGTATTTCATTGGGGATTTCCAAAACTTGGTGGGAGAGAGAGAAACAATGTGTCAACAACTAAACACATTAGAAAGGTGATTGTAAAAGGAAGAGGTAAAAATGAGTTATTTGGTGAGGATGTTTGATGTGAAAAAATGTTTTTAAAAAGCAGAATGTTTAAGGTATGAAGGGATTAAGAAACCAGATGTACAATAATGAGCTTTGTGAACAGAAGGAGCCTCTCTCAAATTTCCCCTTAGGGTTCATGTGATAAATTTCGAAGGGCTTTCCCTCTCTGTTTGCAAACAAAACAAAACAAACAAAAAACAACTATATTGACTCTCAATAAATTTTACTTATATTTTCAAATAAAATGTTTAATTGAGTAGCTTGGTCATGATCATGTATAAGTGAGTTCAAATAGGTCTGAAATGTAAAAATAATTGGTATATTGGAAAGTGAACTGAGCAGGTGGGTCGAGGTTTAGTTTCCAGCTCTGGCTCTGTTAGTTACTAACCAGCCCAGTGACCATGGAAATCATTTAAAGCCTGTGGACATCGTTTTTTAATTTTTGGGGTTTTTTTTTCTCATCCATTAAAATTGATGTTGGATTTGTGAGCTTAACTTCCTAGCCACCTTAAGTTCTTTGTGATTGATTGTAAAGAAATTAAGACATAAGCACCATAGAAAATCAATATTTTTTTTTTAAATTAGATTTTCAGTTTTTTGTTTTTGTTTATGTTTTCATTGTAATACCCTTGGTGTTCATGTGCAGGAAACATTCATTTAAAAAAATTTTTTTTCTTCCTATTTGACAGAATGCAAAATGTCATCACTCAGGTTGTGAATAAGTTGAAAGGCTTTTCATTTTCATTGGAAGTATGTGAAACAACTACTCATGTGGTCACAGGGAAGCCTCTTCGAACTCTTAATGTGCTGCTGGGAATTGCACGTGGCTGCTGGATTCTTTCTTATGAATGGGTAAGCCCTGCATTTGGTTTGCATGTTTTAAAACAGAAGACATTATGATAGATTTGATTATTCTGAGCTGATGACACTAAAACTCCTGCCAATGTACATCTGTGTAACTCTGTACATTTTCCTGTGAGTGCTTAATGCCATTCTTTCCATGAACTCTTCTCCCTTTGGATCCTCACCCTACAGCCAGTGCTGAACCCTTGGGGAGCAGGAGTATGGTGAGAATGGAGAGCAAGGAAATGATTAGCCATTCAAGATAAAGACCTCTCAGCTAGTGACAGAAAGTTTAGAGCAGACTTGGAATGAAAATGTAAAATGAGTATTCTTGCAGTCAAGTGAACTTCCTCCCGTGTTTAACTAAGAAATAATGTGACCTATAGTGATTGTTTAAAAAGCCAAAAGAATTCAGTGATTGTTTTTACAGATGGATTTACTTAGGATGAAACATGCTCATTTCATCTCATTTAGATATGTTTTATCTTATGCATATCTGTCTGTAGCATTATTTACTGTTATTTCTGTGCTTTAAGATAGTTTAATTTTAAAATATATCATTATTTTCATTATTCATAAAAATTAAAATTGTCATTTATTTTATTACTTTGATCCTCTATCTATGATCATGTGAAAACATTACTCAATGACTCCTGGTGTGTATCAGCAGTGGACTGACTGCAACCCACAAGGTTGGTGTTTCAAACCTACTAGCTGCTCCTCAAAAATCCTGTACAGGGTCGCTATGAGTTGGAATGTACTCGAAGGTTCTTAACAACAACATTATTTCTTTTGTTACTATTTTACATCTGATAAGTAACCATTGTTCTTTTTCTCCTCAAGAATATATTATATTAATGCTGCATTAAATTAAACTAGTAGAATTATGATATGCAAACAAGTTACAGATTGTTTATGTGTGTGTGTGTGTGTGTGCGTGAATGACTTGGTATTTCTATCATGCCATTATTTATCTATGTGCCTCACTAGTGTAAAAGGTTTAAGAGAATAGTGCTTAAAGTTGTGAAGTGGAACAGGTTGAAATTCCAGAAAATAGTAGTATTTACATTGTTGGCAACTAGGAAATAGTTTTGGGTTTATTTGTATGTAATATAATTTATGACTAGCTTCAATGAATGAATTCCCTGCTGCTTTTTCTCTTAATTCAAAATGTCTCTGAATATTCACCAATCAACTCTTCCTTTCCCCATGTCTCAGAGGATGGGAAAAAAACAATGTTCTCTATGTCCTGGTGTGATGCTGTAGGTTAAGGCACTGGACTGCAAGGTTGGTTTGAATCACAAAGTTGGAAGTTCAAGCTCACCAGCTGCCCCTCGGAAATCCTATACAGGTTTCCTGGTATGGATAAGCACTGGACTGCCAATCACAAGATTAGTGGTTTAAACCTACTAGCTCTTCCTCAGAAACCCTATACAGGGCCGCTGAGTCAGAATTGATAACAACACTTAACAACAACAACAAAAGCATGCTTTATAAAGTTATTCACCTATAATTGATTCTGTACCAAACCTTCTCTTCTTAGACTTAGAGTTGACCAAAAAGGTCAGGCATGAAAATCAGCTTTTATTTTTGACATTCTTCAAGACAAAAATCTTAACTGCCAATATGTCTCTGCTCAGTGTACTGAATAAGTGTACTGAATAAGGAAGTTCATAGAAGAATTGATGCATCTGAGTTATGGTGTTGGAGGAGAATATTGAAAGTGCCATGGGCTGCCAAAAGAACAAACAGATCTGTGTTGGAAGAAGTGCAGCCAAAGTGCTACTTGGAGACCAGGATGGACAAACTCTGTCTCTCATACTTTGGACATATTGTCAGGAGGGAACAGTCACTGGAGAAGGATATCATGTTTGATAAGGTGGAGGGCCAGAGAAAAAGAGGAAGACCCCCAGAAAGCTGGATTGGCAAAGTGGCAAAATAAATAGGCTCAAGCGAGGCAACAATTGTGAGGTTGGCCCAGGACTGGGCAGTGTTTCGTTTTGTTGTACATAGGGTCACTATGAGTCAGTACCAACTCAATGGCACCTAACAACAACAGTGTACTTCCAATATTCTTCCACTAGTAATATATAAAGGATTTCTATTCTATTAGTGCAATGGTTAAGCACTTGGATGCTAATCAGAAAGTCAGCAGTGTGAACCCAACAGCTGTTCTGCTGGAGACAAGACCTTGTGATCTACTTTTGTAAAGATAACACTTTAGGAAACCCTGTAGGACAATTCTACTCTGTCACATAGGGTCTTTATGAGTCAAAATGGAGTTGACAGTGCATGTCAACAGCAGCAACAATAATATGTAGAAATAGAATAAAATACAAGATATGGTGACTATTTGTGGGATTACTTAATATGAGACAAAGGGACAATAGAACATGTCATTTAATAAACTCAATCCCTGCTCAGACCTTTTTTTCTGTGTGGAAGAACTCAGTCATATTAGTGAGTGAAAGAATCGTATTTGTTAGTAAAATAAAGCAAGTAGAAAAAGACATTTGGAAGAAAATCATACACATAATGATTGTCTATGTAAACACTCTGAAAGAAGCTACAAAATACAAGTTAAGCATGGTATCAAGATGCAAGGCTACAATAATCCAGGCTTATCTTTCAGATATGTAAATATACAGCTAATAAAATATGTTTAAGATCTATATGCTGAAAGCTACAAAATACTGATTTAAAAAATTTTAATGAAAAATGGATAGACACAACTGTGTTCATGTATTAGTAGACTCAATGTAGCTAAAATGTCATTTATCTCCAAGTGATTTATAGATTTGATGCATTCCCAATCAAAATATTAGCAGGATACTTTGAAGATATAAATATACTGATTCTACAACTTATGTGGAGAGGAAAAAGAACTAGTATAGATGAAACCATTTTGATAAAGTTGAACAGTTAAATTACATGATGTTTAAGGCAGATTTTAAAGGTATAGTTGTCAAGGCAGTATACTATTAGTGAAAGGATAAACACAATGAAACAGAATACAGCATCTAGGAACAGGCCCACATAAATATGTCAATTGATTTTTTTTGACAAAGGACCCTAGGCAATTCAGTGGTAAAAGGACAGTCTTTTTACAAATGGTGATACAATGTTTAGACTTTCATGTGCAAATTAATAAATGTTCCTCTATACATCATACTCTATAAAAAAAATTACCTCAAAATTGATCATAGAGAAAAAACCCTATGGAGGTGGGCAGGGATTGCGGTGGATGAGGAAGAAGCATGGTGCAGATCTTCAACAGTAATAACACAGAATACCAGACAAAGCAGGTTCAGGGGACAATCCCAGCACTCTAAATTATGTATAAAGGAGTATTTAGAAGGAGTGAAGGGTTACTGCTAATGGAATTTGTAGGAGAAGCAAAAAAGGTGGCATTTTCTGATCTGCGGCTGCCAGCAGGTGTCAGAGTAGCCATCCTTGGCATGATGGAACTGGAACAGGATGAAAGGAGTGCTCCCACCACAGAGGTCTGACCCATTGTCAAAGATAAAGGTGTGAACATTTATTTCCTGTTCATTCGTTTCTCACTATCTGCACACCTCCACTCTCATGACTAGAGGGGCTGCCTGAGCGAGTGGACAACCCACCCCCACCCCCAATTCCTGGAGGATTCTACTACACATGTGCACAGATCTGTTCAGCAAAGACCACAGCGTGTAGAATCCAAAAGGGGGAGGAGACAACAGTGTTAAAATGAAATGGTCTCCCAGAACAGCTCTAGCCAGCTGAGCAAAGGGCATTAAAATCATGTTAAAGTCATACTCATATTTTGCTATCATTTTTTTTTCGATTATAGACGATAGTATCCAATCTATTTTTCATTTTGTTTTTGCTGTTGAGGTTTTATTTATTTTTGGTTACTTGGGAAGAGGGCTCTTTATCTCCCTACACTACCCAAGAAGGGACAGCAATTGTGATCATATAGTCAAGCTACAATAACACCCATAAAATCCCACCATTCAGGCAAGAGCCAATACCAGCTGTTATACATCAGATAGATAGCCAGCACCTGTTACAGTTACTCTGAGTTGAGTAATAAGAAAAGCAAAAAAGGAAGCCCATGTCCTGATTATGTTTACCTGGAGGCAATCAGAAAGCTTAGTAATATATCAACATAAATTCATTGAATTATTTAAAAAATCTAGTTATTGAAAATGCCCAAAAGACAGTTGAAGATTTCAGCTCATGTCCAGAAGAAAGACAGAGTAACTGAAATAGATGAGCTGCAGGTAGACCTAGACTTCCGATTAGAAAGAGGGCAGGCTTTGGAATTGTCTGAGAAGGAATTCAGGAGAATGATATTTAGGTGCATCCAAATGTTCTACAGACAGGTTGAAAAAAATAAGGAAGAAGTCAGGAACATGCCATAGGAACCATAAAATAAGATATAAATAACATTGGAAACAATTCAAAACCTGAAAAAAGAGGCCCAAAATGATTAATAATAAAATATCAGAAATAGACAATACACTGAAAGGGCAAAGGAGTAGAATTGAAGAGATGGAAGCCAGAGCTAGTAAGCTGGAAGACAAATCAGTCAATACTGTTAAGATAGAAGAGCAAGCAGAAAAAAGGATTTAAAAAATTGGGGGGAGAACAAACAAGATGGTGAATCGGGTGGACGTATAGCAGAGAGCTCCGCCAACAACAACACAGAATACCCGACCAAGCAGGCTCAGGGG